AAAAATTTAAGCCTTATTTTTAAATAATTTAAGCTCCATCATATTATCGCAACTGGTACATAACGACCCGGCGATATGCCCATAAAACGATTCATCTTTTTGTTGTATTAATTTAAATATTATCTAAAACATGTCAACTATAATTAAGTTATTTTCTTCTTATTTTTTACAGTACAGTTTAAGGAAGTTCCAACGTTATGATACGATAGTAGGGGTCCAAAACGAAGTTAGGGCTTACTGCATGGATTCCAAAGGGACAGCGCACAGTCAAAGCTACTGTCAGACAGCTGCAGAAGCTACATTGATTGGCTGCGATCGACTGTCGTCCAGCGCTCGACGAGCCCATCTGCGCAGGAGAGTCCACAGGTTTCCATAGAAACTCCCTATCATAGGAGCGGACTTCAACGATTCTCTACCTCGCCAATTCATCAGCCACATAATTTCTTGGAATGTCAGCTGGGACTTCTTTTGAAAGTAATCCGAGGCGAAGGAGATAGAGCTCCGCTCGGCTGCCAGAGTGGGCTTTTAGCTTTCGATCCATCCGTACAAATATTAAATCGAGCCCTTCTTCTGAGGCTCTCCCATTCACCCCTTTGTTGTGAGTCCAGAAGAATCCAATCGAACCAAGCCTCGGCTCGCCCTAATTCGCACTGATTCTTTTGATACGAGGTCGAAGTTTCCAAAGATTGAAGATTGAAGGAGAAACCATCTTAGCCTGCTGGTGGAGTGTAGAGTTGGCAACTACCTATTATCGGTAGTTCTTCGCTGCTGTCAGTGTTACGCATTTGCTACTATACCTACGGTGATCATCCGTTCTGTTTTTTGCAGGACCGTACTGTTTTTCAAAGGTCGGTCCTGCGTAGTTTTTCAAACCTGAAAAAACCTGAATATGTACTGCTTTTTTCCAAGTGTCCTGCATTTGTCCCGCATTTTATTCGTTATTTTAAAATTCTCGGACAATGGATTAATTTTTTCAAAAAAGTGTTTTTTGGTACTTTTCGTAGCTTTTCTTCAATATCTCATGAAAAAATCTCCCAATCAACGTAAGAGACTTACAGCTCGAATGGTATTGATGTGCCTCTTACCAAAATATATAACTTGTTGCGACTTCAATGAAAATTATTAGTGCTACAGGCGACCATTTGCATTTTGTCGTCAAAGTCGAAAAAAGTGACATTTTCAATTAAATACGTAGTTTCATTTGATTTTTTTTTTCATTATTTTAAAAATTTGATAAAGAAAATATATCATTACAGTAAATTTTAAGCCAAAGATAATGAAAATCGGATTAGAAATGTAGATGCTATGGAGCGCTATCTGCACAAATAATATATTTTTGTAAAGGGCACTTTGTAACTCGTCGTTTACGTCGATTCATGACGTCGATTTTTGACAAATAACTGCGAAAAGTACCAAAAAACAAAAAAAAGGGCATTGTTTTCGTTTTGAATGACTCAAAATTTGCCCATAAAATAATCTTTTAAAGATTTTCACTTTTCGTGTAAGCTATTGTAATTATAATATGTTTTACTATACTTTCATAAAAATTCATGTAAAAAAGATTAATATCGATGAAGAAAACGTGATTCATTTTTAAAGTTTAAAATGTATTAAGAATTTAGAATCATAAATACTCTTTTGATATTTTCATACTACGTAAATATATGTAGGCATATTTTTGAAAAATTGTCCTTCATTTTGAATCCATATTTATGGTCACCGTAACTATACCACGTAGGTACGTTAGACAATTTTTGTGTGTGGAAGGAAAAGAAATTCTCAAAAATCAACCGGATTTTGGCAAATTAAAATTTATACTTTGTTATACTGAAATTAGGCTATAAAATGCATACCATTTTTTTAATTCGAATTAAAATGCTTCAAATTTTGATGAAACTATTAAAGTTTCTGATTTTGTACAAAGATTTAAATTTGGACTTTTATGGCTTTTGTTATATGTATGTATAAGCTACACTTTTTTTTTAATTAATGAACATTAAACAATTAATTAATTTAATTAATGAACAGATCAAATTATCGAATGCCGTATTCGCAGTGAGTATAGACTCTTGTCCGTTTACACATGTACCAAAAGTTATGAGATGCATATTAATGGACGTTTAATTTAGGGAGCTAGCTCGAGCCCTTCCTAACTGGCTCGCTTCGGCTGTTGGTACTTGCGTGCGAAGTGACCTGAATTTCTGCGGTCAAAAATTTAACTGAGTTATCAGTTTTGTCGGTTACACTTTTATATATTTTTTTCTTTCTATGTATTTCAGTCATGAAGTACAGTTTTTCCTCCATTCAATGGGCTTCATAGGCTATTCTTTCCTCTTTTCGTTTTCACGACCCATATACCTCTCCAGAATTACTGGAGAGCGTCATTGGTTTCCTGCAGCGGACCTCCAGTTTCATTCCTTTCTCAGTATGAAATATGTTTCAAGATGTCCCCTGCAGGGCCTTCAATTGCTGTTGCCGTATTTTTAAACTTGATCATAAAGACGCAGAAATTTATCGATGCGGCATTTACCCAGGTAGGGGTAGGAGTGGGTTATAGTAGGCGAGTGAAAAGGTGCTTGGTGCCGTGGGGAGCCTTCACAACCCGGACATGTTTTTGATATGTCGCGGTGTGTCGTCTGGTCCTGTAGGTGTGTATGAATCGGGTTCTATGGGAGAGTATATGTCGCAAGGAATAATCTGTTTGGATGCTCATTACATTAGGTCGTGCTCCCTAACTGGGAAATGCCTAACAGTGTAGATGATGTGCAGGCGACATCAGAAGGCATCCAATCGGAATGCTATATTGCGGAATTGAAGCTTGACTAATGTACGTTTGTGGGTATAGAAAGGGCGCTGGAGGTGCTCTCGTTCACTTCTGCGAAGCCATCCCAGTCAGCTTTATTAAAGTTGATATATGCGCGGTCCACGGGAGCAAAGACGGTGCGTATATCGTTCGAGATGATTATGGGTAGCATGGGATGCTACGTTAAACTATTTATCAGACCAGCACTAGGTATTGTTAGATCAAGCAAAGTACTGCAGCTCCCCATAATCTTAGTGTTGGGTTGATGCTCAAAAGCACCCGGGGGTCACGCGAGTTAAAGGTCATGAAGTACATTCCGGATGGAGCCGTCTCCAGCATACGCAGAGTAAGTATTTTTTTGGTCCAGAGTTGGACTCAGTACCAGCCCGGGGAAGAAAGGTGTGGAGACTTTTAATATAATCCTTCTTGAAGGAAAAGAAAATTATGGTCTTTAAATTTGTACTTTTTATTTGAATTTTACAACGAAAAAATCTACATTTTTCAAATTGCACCGATATTTATACAAAAGTTAACTCTTCCAAAAATTATATACATTATGCGTAACCGAGTTATAAATATTAGGTCCATTCCTTATCTTTTTTGACTAAAATCTGAAAAGTGTCAAAATTCAAGAGCGTAAGCCAAATGCGCTCACTAAAAGAGAATAACAGGAAAAAGTAAAGGAACGCAAAAACCCAATTTTTTAGTCCAAAAAATGGCAACAGCAAAACTAACGTCAAATAAGAACAGAAATTTATGTACAAAACACATTCACACAAGCAGAAGCACAATAAACACTTACTATGTAAATTATTTTTTGCCGCCTTCCATTTTCAACTCACTTTTTTTAGTTTTTAGATTATTCTCACTTTTCATGTATTCTTTAATTTCCGTTAATTTAGATTCAGTTGAGTGTGACGCTTTTCAAGATTTTGCCAGCAAAAATTCTTCTGACTAAATCTGACTACTTCGGACTGAAGAGAGTTACTCTCACTGAGTGGTGCTCTCTCATTTCTGCTATTATTTTTGAGTTAAGAAACGCTTTTGGAGTAAATCTGACTACTTCGGACTATTTCTACGAGAAAAGGAACGCAACTATTGGTAGTAAAAGCGCAGTTACCCACGGACGTAAAAACGGAGAACGTGTCAGCTGACACGGGCTTTGTTTATTATTAGTCTGTTCCTTTGAACTTCGGACTAAAACCTGTGGAACTGTCAAACTACAATTTTACGCTCTCAAATGAGAGTAAAAGGAGAACAGATGCAGAAGTGCATAGGAACGCAAAAAGCACTAATTCCTGTAAAAACGTCAGACGGTTTGTTTACATGTCATTGGTACCACACTGATTTGGCTGAAATATCACTAAATAATTATTAAAATCTATACATAGTCAAATATTTCGTTGTTTACTTCCATTTTTTAACAAATATAAGGTTCTTTGCTTTCACCGCTTTCTGTTTTTTAGTCTGTTCCAATAGCAGTCCGGTTTACAGGATTTAGTCAGAACTTACAGGAAGTCGTTCCTATTGACACAAAACCTGTAAGTGGGAACACATTTGAGAGAGTAAATGAGCAACTGTTCCTAGTCAGAAGTTACAGGATTTAGTCCGGAGATTTTTTTCCTGTAAGTTCATGAAAAGTGTCAAACGATCAGCTGATTTACATGTGCAAACAAAAACAGAAAGCAGTGAAAGCAAAGAAGCTTATATTTGTTAAAAAATGGAAGTAAACAACGAAATATTTGAATATGTATAAATTTTAATAATTATTTAGTGATATTTCAGCCAAATCGGTGTAGTACCAATGACATGTAAACAAACCGTCTGACGTTTTTACAGGAAATAGTGCTTTTTGCGTTCCTATGCACTTCTGCATCTGTTCTCCTTTTACTCTCATTTGAGAGCGTAAAATTGTAGTTTGACAGTTCCACAGGTTTTAGTCCGAAGTTCAAAGGAACAGACTATTTGTTTGCACATGTAAATCAGCTGATCGTTTGACACTTTTCATGAACTTACAGGAAAAAATACTCCGGACTAAATCCTGTAACTTCTGACTAGGAACAGTTGCTCAGTTACTCTCTCAAATGTGTTCCCACTTACAGGTTTTATGTCAATAGGAACGACTTCCTGTAAGTTCTGACTAAATCCTGTAAACCGGACTGCTATTGGAACAGACTATATCTCTTTAGATAATTATCAGGAAAATGAAGAATGAGAAAATTTAAAGAATTACGCTCACAGAGAGCGAAATAACGAAAATGTAAAGAAACGCAAAACTTGCAGAAACTAGCAAGTAATTAGCTGATCGGTATATTTGACTATTGAAAATATTTGGCGCGAATTTTTGTTTATCCATTTTGACAGCTGCTAGTTTCTGCTAGTAAAAATTTTACTTTTAGTTTTATCTTCGTGATGTTCGGTTAACGTCGTAACTGCTCCAGTAACTGCTTCTAGTAAGGCTTGCTGAGTCTTTAGTTCAGCTTCCAGAAGATCGGAGGATGCTTTCGGCTTCTTTACAGTAGGTCTCCTTTCTGAAACTACATTTACTGGTGGTGGTGGAAGCGATGGCTCACCGACCGTGACAAGTGGACTTATTTGAGACTCATGTATCTCTATTTCCAAAAGTAGACGCAGCTACATATGCCTTCAACACTTTCCTTCATCCCAATCAGTTTATATATAGGTTCCTCATTGGAAGAAAGTTTCTGTTGGGTGTTTGGGCCACCACCCGTGCCTTTGCTGCTTTTAAATTTTGCGCCGCCTTTTGACGCACATATTTTTTTTGTCGGTCCACACCTATAAAAAGTTAAGAAAACGATAATTTAAAGCGAAAACTACACATTTAATCACTTTTACAAACCTTTTTCCACTCAGTCGTATTTTTTTTTGGGTGGGTCTGCGGAGTTTGGTACACCTCAGGGTTCCGCCAAAACCGGGAAACTTCCTTTCTGTTGCCCTTATGGAAGTCGCGAGCAATGTCCGGCTTAGTTTCCATTAGGCTTATTAAGATCTCTACCTGTTTTCTATTTGTTGTTTTGGACCTAGAATGAAAGGATTACGCCTTTTATTACACCAAATTTTCTTTAAATTGTAATTAACTTACATTTTTGTAGCAGTCCCCTTTTATAACACTGGTGAAAATTCTCCCAGAATAACGAACAGTGATCGGACTTGCAAAAAAAAAAATGTGTGTGGTAGAATCTGGAAAAAATGTGGTAGATTTCAAAAAAATGTGGTAGATCTCAGGTTTTGGATCAAACTATGTACAAAAATTAGAAAAAATCAAGATATTTTTCAAACATATTTTGAAAGATTTCTGCAACCTTGCGGAGTGCTGCCAGTTTTTCTTTTTACCACATCACGATGTAGCGAACAAATGTGGCACGTTCCAGAAACCGCTACTTGGGATTTGCCGATTTTGACAATTCTCAAGTAAAAGTAAACAACGCTTTAGAAACTTTAGATGCACTGAAATTTGCTAATACTTTCACGAAAATCGCCATTTTTAACATTTTCGCTGTTCCGTTACTTCCATTATAGTCCAGGCATTACGCCGACTCCGAACGGCGATTGTATTTTTATGAGAAGCTGTTTTACATAGAAGAAATACACTCGGAGGTTTGCCATTGCCTGCCGAGGGACGACCGCTGTTAAGAAAAAACCTTTTTTTCTATATTTTTTGCGATGTTGCTTTGACTAGGGTTTGAACCCTGGTGCTGCGGAGTGGAATCGCGCACTGTTTACCACTACACCACAGCGGTCGACAAAATATATGTAAGGCGAAGAAATCAGCTGATTTTACAACACCCCCTTTTATAAATTCGCCTTGATTCGAAATAAGCCAGCCCGAATCGGGTAGGGATCACAATGCGATAGTGCGAATCGGTTGGAGACTTTTTGCTCTTTATTTTCTTCGCCTTTCTTTGGTCCGAAAAGAAGCTTCTAGTACTGAAAAAAAACATCGATGTTTACGTACATCGATGTTTCGATGTTTTTGTAGGAGCAACATCGATGTATCGATGCGTCCGCCTTTTTAAATGCCGAATTTTTGAAATGTTGGCTTAATTCATTAACGCAGATATGCAATCAGTCTTATTAATTTCACAGCCATGCAAATCAAATGAGTTCAATAGTTCAGCCATTTACATATATTGCTGAAACTTTATTAAGTCTTCTAAATTTCAATTTGTCAATTTTATAGGAATTCACGATTTCAGTAAAATAGAATTCGAATTATTGGAATCTACGTTCAAAAACACATTTATATAAATACATATACATAACATGAAAGATTTTCATTGACACAGTCTACAGAGAAGCCTGCGACTTAAAGATTTCAAGTTGTGCCAACTCCAATGACCTAAAGAATTAATTATTTGTATTTAGTACGCTTTATTTATATATTAAAATTATGCTCGTAGATTTTCACTTACCTATGTGATGGTTATAGAGAGAAACATCGAACATCACAAAAAAACATCGATGTTTGAAATGAATTCAAAAACATCGATGTATCGATATTACATCGGTGTATCTTCCAGCACTAGAAGCAACCTTGAGGATAGACACAAAAGGCAGAATAAGGATAAAAAAAAACAAAGCAAATCACAGGAAAATTAAAAACAAAAGAATTAATTATTAGCTTATTTATCAACTTTCATATGAGGTGAATAAAGTTACTATGAAAATCGAACTTATAAACGGGACGATAAAAGTAATCAATTCCTCTGGCGTAGTAAAATAATAATCAAGATTTTATCTTCGTCTCAGCTCCTTGGTAAAGGCCTAATATAATTTTTGGAATTTATTATGCGATAATACACTATAAGCCAAGAAAAATGGACCCAACTATATCACGCGATAAAATACCCCTAAAGCAGGCTGAGGTTTCAGTTCGACGTTTTAATGATCTTGCTGTTCCACATCACTTGGGGCTACTAAAAAACCATCGCAGTAATATTGAAAAAAGTGTAGCTCTCGGTGATTGGAACAAGGTTAAGAAGGAAGAAATAAATGCAACACGGGTCATAAAGCAAATAAAAAACTTACTTCTGGAGATGGATGCGTTGCGAGACAAAGTACGCCCCGAGGATTTGAAACGATTTGATGCCATGATGGATGAGGGAAAAAATAAAGCTTTCAAAGGAATGAGTGAATATTTGGGTAAGCTTGTTTGAGATGAGTGAAATTTTGGGTTTTATAATTTAAATTTGGGATGGTTTAATTTAATTCTATTTTAAAAGAGCTGCAACTGAAATCACCATCATATAGCAGCCATCCACTTTCGTCGGCAGACAGCGAAGGTGAGGAAACCATTCATGCAATTGAAATAGGTTCAACCATGGCGCATCGGAAAGTAGTTCCCGCGATTGAAACAAATTTTCAGCAGCAAGAGTACCAACTGCAACAAAGACAAGCGTGTTTGGATGAATTAGAAGAGTTACAAAATGAGATACGTGATCTGAATGGAGTGTACCATAACATGCATAGTCTTGTTCAAGAGCAAGGCGAAAGTGTACAGATTATTGCTGACAACGCAGAAGAGGCACTTGAGCAAGTACAAATTGGCGAAAGCAACTTGCGTCGGGCGCTTTCATATAAAAAAGCCATGTATCCGGTTGTAGGAGCATTGTTGGGCACATGTGTCGGTGGGCCTATTGGATTGGTAGCCGGTTTGAAGGCAGGAGGCCTTGCAGCAGTAGGATGCGGTATACTCGGCTTTACTGGTGGTTCTGTTCTTAAAAACAACCCATCAGCAAATCCTGCCGTAATGCAAGGTAATATTGAGGAAGAGTGCTCACAAGAGAATATACAATTGGAAAAAACAGACGAATGACCCTCAGGGAGTGGCAATAGTCCGTACAATAGGTTAAAGGACACTCATCAGCTATTGGAAGCAGGCAGCAATACACGATTAGATCCTGTAGCCCAAGCTACGACAGGTGTGATATGTAGCGTACGCAGTTACTGTTCCATACAATGAAGACTTACATTTTTTTTTTCTACTCTTTTATGTGAGTTTTTTGTTTTTACTTTTAAAATTGATTTAATATTGACTATATATAAAATGGTTTAAATAAAAGGTTAGAAATAAAAGTTGCAAGCGATGGATAATTTGGTATACATATCGTCGTTTAAAGTACAAAACCGCGTATGAGCATAATGCAAAACCGCTTATCTGAGGTTGGATAAATTATTTTCTAGAGTAAAAATACTCATTTCAAAATGGTTCTCTCTTTTATAAAGCAATTGTATTTCTGGCTAGTATATATCAGGACGAATGGATGAGGATTGAGCCATGAGCTTGTGTGAGCAAATCCAATTATGCAAATCTCAGTTACGCGGTTTTGCAGAATGACGATACTCGGTTTTGTACTTTAAACGACAATATAAATGAAGGCCGCCTACGCAGAAAAAAGTTCCGCATCTCTTCTCTTGCAATACAGAAAGGAAAATTCTGCGTAGTAAAGGTTATGATCCCCAAGCGCGACCGAAGGCCGCCTATGCAGATAAAAATCCCGTCCTCTTCTCCGGCAACACAGAAATGAGAATTTTGCTTAGTGAGTGTTATGATCCCTAAGCGCGGCCAAAGGCCGCCAACGCAGAGGGAACTTGCGCACCTCTTCTCTGGCAATACAGAAAGGAGAATTCTGCGCAGCAAGGGTTATGATCCCTAAGCGCGACCGAAGGCTGCCTACGCAGTAAAAAGTGTTGCACAAAAATACTGTGGATAGCGTAGTCGTTGTTGGTCCGACCGGGTCTTTGTTTTGCACTGTATAGCACGGATTGAAGAACATGATTTTGTATACCAAAATAAAGCTTTTTTATATACAATTGAATTATAAAACTTTAATATATATTTAATAAGGCAATTTTTAAAAAATCATGCGTTTGATTAACATTTTCTGTAACTTTTTTAGTTAAATTGAACTATTGCTCAAAATTTATAAGATGTATATACATTTGTATATCGTATTAAGGCCATAATATTTCCTACTGAATGACATAAAAAATTCTGAAATCCGTCCTTTCGTTTTCGAGATATTTAGATTTAAAAAAATTATTAATTTGACCTTTGACCCTTGGTAACTCCTGTAGTTCCCGTTTCTCATCAAAAAAAATATATATACCGTTATGTTATACCTGCTTCAAAAACCTCTATCGACGTCCTTGTTCAAAATTTGTCGCCCCGGTTATTGTAAACGGGACCTATGTGTGGTTTTGTATTTTAAACGATATGTTTATATGTATGTGCATATATATGTACATGCTTACCTGGTAAATTTTAAGAGACTTGGTTGAAATACCAGCGAACCTCTACATGGTGCCTGCGCCATGGAATGTATAAAACGCCGCGCCCAATGCTCACAATACGCGATTCCGAAGTCAGCTAACCTATAGACGACTAACATTGACTACTAAGTCAAGTTCGTTCAAGACGTTCAAGAATTAAAAAAAAAAAACTGTCCTACTTGCAAGTCTAGTACAAACATCCCTTGGAATGTATTCATTAACAAAATTACGAATTCACAAAAATGCTAACCAACACTTTTTTCGAAAGTGCGTTTTCAACAGATTTTGGTGGGATGTATAAAATACACTACACTAAAAATTTTAAAGTGCTAATACCAAAAACAACGCAGTTACATGTTACTTTTTAAAAAGCCCGACTTGTTTTTGATATTATTTTTTATGTTTTTTGCTTCTCTTATAAAATAGAAAATATGTGGGTTACGGCCTTTATACATAGTACATACATTGGGCCGTATGAAAAAAACTAAGCAACTGTTTTTTCTTAAAATTTAATACCTTTTACTTAAATTTGTTTGAATAAATCGAGTAAAAGGTTTGAAATGTTAAGAAAAAAACAATTGCTTATTAAGGAGAAGGTTATCAATTCGTCAAAATATTTTTTTTTTTATGTACATATCGACCCCCTTGCGCAAAATTATCGCATATTACATTTTTTTGAAATTCACTTTTCGATGTAACTTCATCACAATCACCTTCTCAAATATAACGGCTGGAATCCCAATAGCTACGTCAAAATTCGATAATTGGATCATGAAGAAATTAACGATAATCTTAAATTTTTTATAAGAGAATTGAAGTCGGTCTTGTTTTCGCTTAAAAATTACTTGTTTTTATTCATACGGCCCATTACCACTTGATTGTTTTGGAAAATATACATATCGACGGTACTTTGGCAAAACCTCGTATCTCAAAGCACTCTTAAAAAACTCTTTCTACGAAAGAACTCCATATTAATAACAGAACATCAATCATTTTTACTAACTTTTTAACTGAATTACGAATAACATACAATGAATAGTAGTATTTTAAGGCCTATTTTGAATTAATTTTTACGAGACACGTAGCAGTGACTTCTGACATACGTTGGGCAAATTACCGTCGATATTCTACATACATACATATATTTTTCCAACATAAAGCCTTGAAATTCAAAATATATATATGTATAGTCGCATATTGAATCATTTCGTTCATCAACATACATACATATGTATGTATAGCGCGGTACGGAAAATTGAGAGCCATAAAACTAAAGTGGTACATTTGCTGTCGTCCACATCTGCCTGAAACGCTTTTTCATTGCGTGTGCCTTTTTTCGTATGCGTTTTGCTGTTGTTTTTGGTTTATACCAAGGCGGATAGGAACCATGTTGATCCTTCATTGTTTTACTATTGTAGACATGTACCTTTCCAGTTTTTTCATTTATTTCTGTAAAGTTCTGACCTGGCTCCCGACGTTCTTCCATTTCATGCTCCAGTTCTTGTTCTTCACGTGATTTATTTTCCTGTAAAGGACATGTAAACATATCGTGAATATTTTTATTTCTTCTGAATAATAATCTCTTCCCACATACTTGTTTCAACTCCTTTGCAGTTTTAACTGTGGCTATGTCAGAAACGTCTTTCAAAATTTCATTGCCATCAGCATCAATAATGCCGAGTGTTTTCTTGAGGCGAATGAGCTCTTTTGCCTCATATCGGGCTTTTTTAATTTTATTCATCTCATCCCTTCGTTTTCGGGAGCGATTTAAGCGGCCCATTTCGTAGGTTTGTGGAAAAAGAAACTATTTTAAAGAAGGATAAAATAAATGTAAACACGTGTGATATGTTTGGAGATGCTTACGATGAATCGATATCTTTGAAACGTAAAATCGTTTCAAAATTCGAGATCGTTACTTACGACTTCATCGATGTCAGTTTTTAAACATCGACTTCTAAAATTTAACCGGCCGTCTTCAAGTGCTAGAAAATCTCGCTTCCGAAACGACGCATGCGAGATCCCGCAAAAAGTACGAAGCATACTTTTTCTCGCATAGCGAGAGATTTGGTGTTCCTCAGTGAAAAAATCATACTATACCAATTTTCATCAACAAATGGAAAATATATTAATTTTTAAATTACGTAATTGAAATTAATGAGAAAATGTAGTGCTACCTACACACGAGGCAACCGTTGAAGCAACGTGTTGAGGCAACCTATTTTTCTTGTTTTGTACACACCTCAACCTCAGTAGTGTGTTTGTTTTCTATCAAAATACTTTTTGCACTCACTTTTTTCAATGAACTAAAAGCACAGTTAGTCTAATTTCCATAACTTAACTTAACTTAATATTTTGACCAACCTGTTATATGAGAAACTGTGTTGGCGGTTAGTTAAAACTTAAATTACCGTAAGAAACGTAACAACCTGTAGATTTTAGGTTCTTAAGTGACGGTCTTACGGAAATTGAGAGCGGTGAGAGAATTAGGCTTGCCTCTCCTTTTTGTATCTGTAATAAATGAAAGCAAACATTTTTGTTTGCATAATTTTTTTTGATGTGTTATTTTAGGCGGCGAACTTGTATACAGCTGAAAGAGATAATACAAAAACAAAATATTTCCGCTCTTGGCTTAAGTTGACGTGTAGAGTAATCATTGATGATTTCTTACGGTAAGTTAATTTAAGTTAAGTCTAGACTAACTTAGCTTTAAGTCAATAAACTCAATGCACAACGATACACACGAGGCAAGCGACAAGGCAACCAAAACCAAATATAAAAAAAACTATAGTTCGGGCAACGGTTGCGGCAACACTAATTTCTATGAGCAACAATGCTACACACGAGACAGAGGTAGAAGCAACATACCCTGGTTGCCTCAACGGTTGCCTCGTGTATAGTCAGCGTAATAATGAATAGATAATTTGTATAATTTAAACCAATGATGGGCAAAACGCTACTCGCGAGTAGCGTCTGCGTCGCAGCGCTTATACGTATACAGAAACGACGCAGCGAATTTCACTTCAGTCTGCTTTCAGTTTTCATGAGAGTGACACGACGCTTCGCCGTTGAATATTTTTATTCGTAATTTTAGCGCGTTGTTGCCACCTATATATGTAACAATGCCCAAAATGGCTGCGTATGAGTGCCAATTATAGTTTTTGGTACTTATAATATAAGGCAACATTATTTGTCATGGTAAAAAAGTCAAACTGCCGAATTGTGTAAACCAATTTAAAGTGTTTTGTAATGGGTTTTATGTATATATGTATGTACGATACGACAATTTAATATATTTAGTATACTTTATTGAATACTGAGTTTTTTACAAAGTTTAGAAATTTTAAATTCGTGAATTTTGTTGTTGAATAAACTATCATTTTTTAAAACATTAGTTTAATGAAATTAAATTAAAAAAAACTTTTCATGCGCGTACATATGTACTTATAAAAATTAATTTCATAATTCATTATTTAAAATTATTTCTTCATTATTTTTTAATTATATTTTATTATGTTCGTTTCATGTTCATAATACAAATTAAATATAAATTTGTAAGAGCGTTTTCTAACACGCGCAAAAAACGACGCACTTTAGTACAATATAGAAAAGTGGCAACTGTTACTCAGCGCGATTCACGAATACCATGACAAAATGAGACTGTATTGGTGTGCCCATCTATGATTTAAACTTATATACTCTGTTCTACACTTTTAGTGCACTCATCGAACAAACCTACTATCTGACAGATCCACTATCTGACAAGTTAAATTTGTGGATTGTGTATGAGAACGATATGACAAAGTAAATGCTAAAAGTCAAGAGAAAAACAAGCAACCAAAAACGTAAAGTCCTTCCAAACAGCAATCAGATTATTTTGCAACAGACGTATTTAGAAAAGTATTCATAAAAAAATCAGAAATCAGAAAAAGTCTTCTCGAAGGCAAACCAAAATGGTATTGCGGTCGGGCATAATTATCCCTTTTCAATTCCGTGACAACAAGAAGCTGCTGATGATTGGGGTACCTGAGGAAAACCGTAATCTGAACATCTGGGATTTGAGGAATGTTGGTATGTGAAATAATAATATTCTGAAATATGCTAAAATACTGCTTGTATAAATTACTCGCATATGTTAATGCATACATACATACGTACTAATCCCAGTAGCGAAAATGGTCACTGGTGACATCGTAACTAATGAGAATTTAGTGACATTGTCGCCCTTGCTGTGAATTCTAAACGACATATCGCACACCGCCTTCAAAAGAGGCACAACTCAAAATAATACGTTCGTCAGAAAATGCGAAAAACTATTTCGTAGCACATGCTGGGGAAACTTTCCTTTATGGCCGTTCGTTGAAGATGCGGTGGGCGAAGGGGGAGTGGGCGTGGCACCTCCAACCAACCTTTTTGGAGAGGGCATGAACCGCCATTGACAAAAATGCAACCCCGGACCACCTAGGCCCCCTATGGTTCCCTACGGACCCCTTAGAAAAATGGCCAAAAATCGCAATTTATATTTGGCCAAGGACTGTCACTCCATCAACACTCCCCAAAATTTCTTTGGGGAACTTGTATGCTGCTACAACAACAACAACAAAAGTGGCAAATTTTAAGTTGTGACTCTTTTGAAGACGGTGTGTGACAATGTCATGCAGGTGTACTCCTATCAAAGACTTATAACAGACAATGTCTTGCAGTGGTCACTTATAAAAAAGTTCATTGCAGGACATTGTCGCTTGAATGTCATCATGGATCACTGCATGATATTCGCTACGGGGATATTTTGTACAACTATTTGCTATTAAATCAAGTATGAAACACAATTTTCTACTCTAGTGAGGGCAGCATTTGGAATTTATAACTTTGAATTTCGAAACAAGAAGATTGGATTCAATATTCCCGATGAGTTGCTATTGCACTATTTAGCTCAACGTCATGATCTTACCAATTTCGTTATAGAAATTGGTCAAGGTAAGTTAAATCTGCATATTCCATTTGGTTAATTGTTTTATTTTAATGTAGTAATGGATTGTAGAAATGGCTATTTTATCTCTACATATACGGTCTACATGAATTGAAATAAATATCCAGGAGGAATTATATGTATGTATATCGCTCATTTACTTCAATAATGTAATAACTCTAAAGGACCAAGATCGAGGCAAAAGGCTTTTAAATTTTAAATTTATATATGTATACTCCCATAGTAAAAATGAATACATATTTTCTACTAGTAAACTACTGGTAATTGATATATCTATGAAATTTTTACGCAACATAGAATAAGTTTTAACTCTGTATGTATTTTTGAATTATGACACTATTGATGTACATGAGCGTTATGTACATACATACATTTACTATTTGATAAAGAAATTTATGTTCCGGCTCTGACAATATACTAGTTATATTATTAATTAAATGTGTATAAGCTATGATTGGGATGAAAATATATTTATAGGGATTTGTTTTAGATAAAATAACTTTTAAGGTTTTTTAAAATTTGTTACTGTAATAAATAACTTCACGCTTACCATACTGCACTTGGCCTCTAGTAAGTTCGTAAACTTATTTACATTAAATGTTCCTTACATTTAATGTCCTTTTTTCTTTCAGCTAATCTATGTGAGGTTTCACAAAATAACGGAATGATGCATTCGCCTTCAGCGGAAAGCTTTATGGCGTCTGACGATACCATACGTTTACACGAAAATGATCACATCCTGAACGTCAACAGACAAGAATGTGGAGATCTGTTTGATAACAAACAACTCAAGTATCCGAAAGTCATAAAAGTTTGCGATGCGCAAAGCATTTTGTCTAATGATTATGAAACACTAAAGAAGGATCGTGCTTACCAAGAGTACTCAGAACAAGTATCAAGATCTGAATTGCAATCAATTACTGATGAGCGTACAGATCCCAAAACAGACCAGAGTGCGTGCGAATTCGAACGACAGTATGAGATGAAAGTTGACGATAACCAGGATGAGCAGAGCCACAACCCGCAGATATTTTGCCCACGGCCACCATTTAAATTTAGAGACGGGACTGACCCCTAAACCTAACCCTAAAAAAGTAAACTATCAGCAACATCCATTTGAAATGAATCGCTTTAGACGTTGGTATTTTTGTTTTGTTTTATTATTAATAAATACATAATTGGATTTTAAAATTTTGTACAGGGCGCGGAGAAAGAATTTCGAAGGACCAAAAAGAAGTATATGTAAAATATTTTGAAGAAAATCTGTGTATGTTGGCCCAAACGTCGAAACGATTCTGTATTGGAATCACATTGGCTTAAATTAGCGGCTATCTTAAACAATGTACCTCAGGGAGCTGTTAAGAATGTCGAAGAATGGAAACAAACGTTTGACGCTTGGCGTTATAGAGTGTTTATGTACTACCGGTACAACTACAAACTCGCTGGATCAGTTACACACAATATAAAAAATTTTAAGCCGTTAACTTTCACAGAACAACGTGTATATTCTATGTGGACGAGAGAGGATTTTTTTTTTATGTAGAAATAACGCAACGTTAGTTTTCTTTTACAGTTTTTTTTAATTTTCTATTAATATATTTATAACCAGAGCTGGCCACTTTATGATTACGATTATATTTTTATTACTTAGGATTACGATTACTGTAATTGTAATCCCGATAATTTTCAGCATTACGATTACTGTTATTAAAATTATAACATGCTTGGTTGCGAATATTTTAATTTTAATCCTTAAAATTTAACGATTACGACTACTGTAGTCTACGGAACATCAGAAAATTGCAATCAACATTTCTTGATTACTATTACATTAATTGTAATCATAATATTTTAGGATTACAATTAAAGTGTTAGTAATCGTAATTTTCATGATGGCTTTTACTGTAATTGTAATCTTAAAATTTTTAGGATTACAACTTCAGTATTTGTAATCATGTATTTCATGACTACGATTACAGTAATCTTAGTCCTTAAATCGTAATGGTAACATTTATGGTTACAAATAAAGTAATCGTATGTAATTTAAGGATTACAATTGAGCAATCGCAATAAATATGTAATCATAATCACAAATTACCCAGCTCTGGTAATAACATAGCTTATGTATAAGTATCTACCTACATAAATTTTAATGGCGTTCTTGAAATGAAAGGGCAACATTTTTTGGTAAAAACGAAAACGCTATAAGAACATCATATTTTTGAAGCTCTCGGAATGGACCAGATTCCGAGCAGCACATTACCGATACCGGGATGTTGGAAAGGACTAGTCTCCAAGCCGCCTCTTCTCCATGCCACTTTACAGGCAGGCGATCTGAAAGGACGAGATCCAGAGTCGCGCTGCTAGAACGAGTTCAGAATTATTAAATAAATAAAACAAAATAAATAAGTTGCCTTTGTATAATTCGTAAAATTTGTAGTTAACATATAATAATAATAATAATATGTTGGCGCTTACACTTTTGCTAACTGTTGGGCCGAGCTTCTTCTCCAATTTGTGGTTGTGTGTGTGTTGATATTGTTACAGTTTTATGCCGCTTAAAAACGGCAAATGGATTTTACGAGAAGCCTTTTCATGGCAAAAATACACGCGGAAATTTGCCATTGCCCGTCGAGGAGCGACCGCTGTTAAAGAAAACTTGATAATTCAGATGTCGCCCGGACCAGGTACTCAGGTCCTGGGGAGTTTGTAGTTTATTAGGTTTCCAAAATACCTGAATGTTATATAGTTGTGTTTAATGAGCTGCTCTAGGTTAAGCCAGGTTAAGATATCTCACAAAATTCAATGTTTCATGAGGATTTTTCTTGCTCTAACTTACTCTACTTTTTGTTTCATGAGCCTGCGCTAAGTGGAACTAGAGCAACTAAGAGCACGATTTTCTGCACCAGCTTTTTTGATGGAGTAACTTAGAGCAAGCAAACACACACACACACACTTTACTGTCGAGCAATCAACTGTTTTGAGAATTTCTGCCTGATCATGAGATTTATGATCTGAGATGCTCTTTGTTTTTTGACGTAGAATACGTCTTACCTTAAGGTATGGGGGCTATGTTCAAATGTTGTAGTTGTAATTTTTAGAGCTTCACAAAAACGCTTATTGCACGAGAACTAATAAAGCGATTTCAAAGAAAAGTGTGGCGTTTCAAAGATAAAATTCCAAACCTGTCGACAGATTCATTTTTGTAAATAACCAATTCGGTTTCTGTCGTAAAAACAACGGTAAACATTGCCTTATTTTGGGGTCAATTTTGAGCCTTTAAACTGCTCTAGCAACTTATTGTTGGCATATATAACTTTCATTTTCGGGATATAGGTTCTTTGGAGCAGTAGAAATATTATCGGGTACAAATTTTATATAAATTTAACAAATATTGAGCATTTTAAGGCAAAAAATTGTTGAAAAATTTGCAAATTTTTTTCATTACCAAAATGCTCGAAAACCGCTCGAATGATTTTGTTTTTGTTTTCTTTAATCAAAAATTCAAGAGTTTTCCTTTCGTTTGGTATATGGGAAGTATTGGTTGATATCTTCTATATATGTTTATTTTATTCAAATATATGGGCATAAATGATTTTCCATACAAAATCACCTCGTCATCATTTTGCAAACACGTGCATGCGTTGGAAGTGAGGGAAGGAGACAAAAAGTATGTATGCGTATGTAATGCGGCTTTTGATAAACAGAGGCGCGCTATTTATAACCTAATCGCAGCGTGTGTACATATGTAAATACATACATACGTACATATGTTGATTGCAGTTAATGTGGATCTGTTTCTATTCTTAGTGTGTGATTTCGTTTTTGTCTTGGATATGCTCTTAACCATACCACGTATTCTACGTTTAAATATAGCGGCTGTATCTCCGATACAGCCTGCAGACCAAGACGAAGGCGCTGGACTGTTCCTTTTTGACAGCTGCTCTATTCTGCTCCAAATTGAGCTGCTCTGCACTTTTTTCGGTTTCATTAAACACAACCAATATAAAGGTACCACCACTACGTGTACTTTAAATTAAAACTAGGACGAAACTAATCTAATTCTATGGTGAGGGGTTGGGTTAATATAACATCATAACTAGGGCTCGGAATCTTATGCACTAAAAATCGAAAATATGCGCATATAATATGCATTCAAAATTCAAAAATATGCACTCTGAAATATTCTGCAGCAATGGTTTGCCGAGCGCGGACACTCGCACAGGAAGCGTTCGACTGTCTCTTTTGAGCCAGGTTCATCTCAGCTGCGACAAAACTTGTTGAAAGGTAATCCAATCCTTTCGGCAAGTACCCCAGCGAGACAGACCCTGTGCACACTGCAGTATGTTTGTAGGTATCTTCTTTGTTCATTCTTAACGAAAGCTTTGGTCGTAAGCGGGTCGTAGGACACCCAGAACAGCCGGGTAATCTTGTACGATCCTTCACAGTTCCACCTCTTCTTGGCCTTTCGGTAATTTTTTGTGGGACACATTCAGTGCCGAGCTTGCACCTTGCCCCGTTTCCTTAAATGTCTCGTATGTCCCGGGACCCATATTAGGGTAATTTCGTATTGATCAGAGATATGGGCCAATAGGTATAAGAGAGTGCCTTAATGGCCGCTTGGTTATCCGAGAAGATATTCAACTTAACCATTTCCAATAATTAACAATAGAGTTTATTTGGTCAAAATACGTACTTTGAAACAAGTTTTATAATGTACTATATTTTGCTTCTCTTGCTCATTACAAATTCGTATCAACACTCACCGTTTTATGGGAAACCCAAAGGGTATATTTAAAGATTTGTTTACCATTTAAGGATCAAGCTATTCCAGAAGCATTGACTTTGTAGACTAATTAATAATTCTGAAGCAAAACTGCACGAACAAATCTTTAATTTTTTTATTATTAGTTAGTCGATTTTTCTCATTCTTGTTTTCTTAGAAACAATAATAATCGGGTCTATCACTGAATATATTTCGTGAAATCTACGAAAACTCGATCACTGAGTTCGAACAGCTACGAACGTAGAATTTGGTTTCAGCGATAGCATTTTCGAAGATGCCCATATGATTACAATGGATACAGCCCCGACTTGTATTTTTAGGGAGTGTGTGAGCGGACCTTAATTTTCTTCTCTTCTTATTTATTTGCGCTGTAAACCGAATAAGCGATTTTGGCCGAGTTCAACAAAGCACGCCGTTAGTTTCTCTTCAGTGCCAATTGGAAATTCCAAGTGAAGCCAAGTCCTTCTCTCCCTGGTCTTTCCCACACAGAGGAGGCCTTCCTCTTCCTCCGTTATCTGCATCGCAACCCGCGTTGAACGCTTTCAAAGCTGGAGTGTTTCTGTCCATTCGAACGACATGACCTAGCTAGTGGAGCGGCTGGATTTTAATTCGCTGCACAATGTCTTTATCCTTGTAAAGCTCATACAGCTCATCGTTAAATCGTCTGCGGTATTCGCCATCGCCAACGCGCAAAGGTCCATGAATCTTGCGCCGAATCTGTCTCTCGAAAACTCCAAGAGCCGCTTCATCAGATGTTTTCATTGTCCTTGCCTTCGCGCCATACACCAGCTCGTACGTCGAGAGGGGACTTTACTTCTCAATTGCCTACTCAGTCCAAAGTAGCACTTGTTCGCAAGAGTGATTCTCCGTTAGATTTCAAGACTTGCACTATTATTGGTGTTAATTCTGGTTCTCAAATAAACGAAGTCGTCTACTTATTCAAACTTGTGGTTTGTTTATTAAGCGGAAAGGACTTTCATTTCGGAAAAATATTCGCAACAACCCTGCTTCCAACAGTGACGTGGGTGCCAAGACGCGTATGCTCTGACTGTTTGTGTGATGACAGGAGATATTTCGTTTTGTCCTCGTTCACCACCAGACTCATTCGCTTTGCCTCTCTATCCAATCCCGAGAAGGCAGAACAGACGAAGCTCTTGTTTTTACCAATAATGTCGATGTGGTCGGCATACGTCAGCAATTGTACGCTCTTGTAAAGTATTGTAACTAAGCGGTTCAGTTCTGCGGCTCTTATCTTCTCCAATATCAGACTAAAGAAATCAAACGAAAGGGACTCACCTTGTCCGAAACCTCGTTTGGTATAAAACGGCTCGGAGAGGCCCTTCCCAATTCTGAAGGAGTTGATGGTATTGCTCAAAGTCTTTGTACACAGCCGTACAAGTTTCGCGGGGACAACGAATTCAGAAATGGCGGCATAAAGACAACTTCTTTTCGTGCTGTCGAAAGCAGCTTTGAAATTGGGAAATAGACGGTGTGTGTAGATACTATTCTCGCGGGCCTTGTCCAAGAATTGGCGTATTATGAATACCTGGTCTATGGTGGGTTTGTGAGGTCTAAAGCCACACTGATAAGGCGCAATCAGTTCGTTGACGGTGGGCTTCAGTCTTT